TTGCCTGCTCGGCCTGGGACAGTGGTGAGCCATATCAGTGGTAAAACCTGGACTCTCTGGCTGGGCGCGGTAGCTCACGCCTGTAATCCCGCCACTTTGGGAGGCTGAGGAGGGAGGATAGCCTGAGGCCAAGAGTTTGAGACCAGCCTGGACAACAGAGCGAGACACCCTGTCTCTACTAAAAATACAAGAGAGAAACCATCCTCACAGAACAGTAGGTTCATTCCTCTCTCTGTTCTTTTTTTTTTTATCTTAGTCGGAGTCTCACTCTGTCGGCCAGGCTGGAGTGCAGCGGCATGCTCATGGCCACCGCAACCTCAACCTACTGGGCTCAGGCAATCCTTCTGCTTCAGCCTTCCAAGTAGCTAGAACTACAGACACGCCACCATGCCTGGCTAATTTTTTGATTTATTGTAGAGGTGAGGTCTCACCAAGTTGCCCAGGCTGGCCTTGAACCCATGGGCTCAGGCAATCCTCTCACCTCGGCCTCCCAAAGTGCTGAGATTATAGGCATGAGCCACAGTTCCCAGCCTAATTTTTAAAAAAATTTATTGTAGAGATGAGAGCTCACCATGTTGCACAGGCTGGTCTCGAACCTGTGGGCTCAAGCAGTTCTCTCGTCTTGGCCTTCCAAAGTGCAGGGTTTACAGACATGAGCCACCGTGCCCAGTCTCTCTCTTATTTTTTTTTTTCTTTTTGAGTCAGTCTCACTTTGTCGCCCACGCTGGAGTGCAGTGGCACGCTCATGGCCACTTCACCCTCAACCTGCTGGGCTCAGGTGATCCTTCCACCTCAGGTGATCCTTCCACCTCAGCCTTCCAAGTAGCTGGAACTATAGATGTGTGCCACCACACCTGGCTAGTTTTTTTGATTTATTGTAGAGATGAGGTCTCACCAAGTTGCCCAGGCTGATCTTGAAACCCTGGGCTCAGTCCTCTTGCCTCTGCCTCCCAAGGTGCTGGGATTATAGGCATGAGGCACTGTGCCCGGGCCCTTTCTCTGTCTTAAAACCTTTTCTCAGCTTCCCATTGACCTTAGAAGGAAGCACAAAGGGCTTTCCTTCATGGCCTGCCTGGCATCTTTCTTCCCAAGTTCATTTTCTACTACTTTCCCACGCATTTATTACACTTGCAAGTACAGGGACTTTACATTTGTTTCTCAAACACCTCATGGTCATCCCTGCCTCAGGGCCTTTGCCACCCTTACCCCAGCTGTCATCAGTCAGTTCTCAGCTCAAATGTCACCTCTTCAGAGAGAACTTTCTCCAATACCCTTTATATAATACCTCCCTCCAAATCTGTCTCTTACAAATCAGCCTGTTTTAGTACATTCATAACACTTACCTCTTTGATATTAACCAGGTTTTTTTTTTTTTTTTTTT